TCTACCGCAAAACAAACCCTACAGTGTTTATCTAAATCATAATTTCAATTTTTGTTTTGTGTGCATAACACACGGATGTTCAATAAACGTAAGGAAAAGATCCAGGTTATCTTATTACTGAAGTTTCTGCTACACAGACACAACTGATACAGCAATATGCGACAAATTTCTTTCTCTTGGCCCCACTTCCCTCCCCGCCGGAGAGTGGGGGAAGTGGGCTGCCTTCCTTTGTCAATGTCAGGCACGTGAGCAAGGAAGCACTCTCTCCTGTGGATCCCTATGGGTTTATAAAAATATGAGGCACTGGGGGAAAGAAGTCCAAAGGGTTAATTTAGGATACTTGACACGTTCACCTGTAGTTTTCAATGACCATAGTCAAATGCTTGTTTCCATGTGAGTTTGGCCTTGGACGTTTGGAGTTGTGTTGCTGCTGCTTTATTTGGCCACCATTTGATTTATATTACTTTTCGTATGTGAATTTTGCTATGGCTCAGTTCAACGGAGCATATACAGAGTCCCTTTTTTAAAAAAAGCTGCAGTCCCTCAAATTTTTCATTTGCAGGAAAGGCAGAGCAGGGAGATAGAACCCCCAAGTGGAAAACTTTAGACTTTGCTTAGAAGGGCTCTGCACAGATTTGGATCAGAGAAGGAAAGTACATATGCAGCCCCTAGTTGTATTTACACCAGACCAGACCCCTCATCCTGCTAAGGATATATATGGGCATTGTGCCCCTTCCTTCCTTCCTTCCAAATATATATATATCCAGTATTCACATTTTTATATTCTGGGTTTCTGCTTTCTAGTTAATTCAAACATCTGCTGATGTTTTCTTCTCTTGACTCTGTATTTCCTTTCCTTTCCTTCCTCCCTACCCCCACCCGGCAAATATCCTTTTCCCTGCCTTGTAATTTTAAACATTTGGTTTCTTTGTAGATCATTGAAGATAAATACAACATTGATTTTGGATGAAAAAGGTAGTTAAGTGTTTGTGTGTCAGATCTAGTCAGAGCGACTGCCGGGAGGGAGAGGGAGATAAATGGTTTATTGATGAACGTGCTCAGCCTATTAACGCCACTAAACCTTTGGCGAATTTGGACCGTTAAAGAGTCATGTGGCTCAGCTGAGCATCTGCTGGTTCTTCGCTTGCAGTCTCCCTGGTTCAAAGATGCTCATGGCCCATGTTGCATGTGGGAGAGTCATGGAATCTTGGCAGAGTTTTATGTGCTACATGATGTACCACGCTACACACAAACTGAACAGGTGGGGAGGCACAAAAATCATGTACCCATCCCCGTTCACCTAAGCACAAGTTTCCAATGAATAGCTAGTTTTGTGGGGGAGGGGGTGGAAGGGGGCAATTAATCTTAAGTCCCCTCCCACCAAAAAAAATATTCAGACACAACCAGATTGTATGGACTTCCAGCTGCTGACCCCCTCCTAAAGGACATCTAAGAGTAGCCTCACTTGTTATGCAGTTGTATTCAGACTGGAGTGTGGGGTGAGAGTTAACTTGTCCTACAATTCCATTTGGTCTAATTTGTGAAGTAGATAAAATTGGGAGGAGGTGTGGCAAGAGACAGACACTAACAGCGGTGAACTATAATATACACCATGTCCAGCCACCTTCTCTACAGTTCTTATCGTAGGCATTTGCTCTGTGTTTGCATTATTACCCTCTGCAAAGAGAGACGTGCAGGGTTCTCACAAAAAGAGGGTGGCAGTTTTTTAAAGGGGTGGGGTAGGGTTTTGGTTTTTTTGCAGGCTGAGCAATTCTGCATCTGGAATCCGCTTAGTTTTTTTGCCCAAGAAAATCCTGAAGGAAATCAGAGAAACTTCAAAGGACATTGCCCCTGCTGAGTTCACAACCCCGTAAAGCTGCCACGATCAATATTTTATCAGCAATACGCCGTTTTCTAGCAACACACTGTGTTACAAGGAAGAGAGGGGCTGCGTGTGTCTGTGTGGAAATGACAAGGTGAAATTACAGACTACCATTTCAGAACATAATGGAAAATCCAAACTGTGGTTTGAGGCCTTAACCGATGCAAGGAGGGGGGGTGAGTGGGCAGAAGTGAGAGAAAGAGAGCAGGAGGGGCAAACATCCCTGTAAAAAAATAAACCATCAAAGCCACATGCAAGCTTAAGAAAAGGAGTTACCTTCTGTTACTTCTGGCACCTGCTGTTGAAAGAGCACTTAAAAGTAATCTGTGCAGACTGATCCTTTAACATGTGCTGGCAAAGCTGTGAGTGAGGTCACCTTACAAGAGTCTCCTCCCTCGGGCTTACACAGTTATCCCCTCCTTTGCTGTACTTTAACTAAAACATGTATCACGGGATTCAAGATACGTGCAATTTGAGGCCCACTGGTAGACGGTTTGTTTATGTATCTGGGTGCAATCTTGTTTTCATTTTGTGTTCATTTACTGGCACTTCCGCGAGGGCCATTTTGACTTTCAAGAGCTGTGGCAAAACTCACCAAACAGCCCCTGACCGGAGCCAGCCCCAGAGTAATGAGTACTGGAAGAACTTGTGAAATAGGACACGAATGCCACCTTGCTAATTATTTATCAGTTCGTCTCTGTTAGCAGTGAGGTTGCCAACTGGCTGGGCACAGATTGCCCTGCCTGGCTTTTCAGTTCGCCTGGGTTAGCTACTGGATCCACCTGCCAAAGCCAATTAGCTGAGTCAGCCTGTTTGCTTGTGCTCAGGCAGCGCAGATCTCTTTGCCACAAAGGCACCTCCAAGTACTCCTTCCTCTACCAAACAGATAACCAACTCTGTGGTGGTGCAGCTGCCCCACCTCAGACCCTGTTGCCTGCTGGAAAACTTGCTGCTAAATCAGAGTTCCCAGCAGGGTCTGCAAATGACCATTTTCCAGCAAAAAGTTGGAAGCAGTGGCTGGCCCCCTTTCCTGGGTAATGGAACGCTGTCACCCAGTGGGGCGTGAGTGCCATCCTTTCCTGCAGAAGGGCCGCGTGGTCCCTTTCAGTTTTTTTCTGTTGTTCTCGCGTTGCTGGCTGAAACATTTGATCCTTCGGAGCACTTTGCAGGAGATGACAGGGAAAGGTTGGCTTTTCACCAGCTGCGCCCAGGAGCTCTATTACTGTGGTGGCGAGCAGCCGACATCCTGACAAGTGACACAAGGATTACTCCTCCAACAAGAAGCAGCTGGAGCAGCAGCTCCTGGAGAAATCCCGATGCCCAGCTGTCAACACCCTGGTTCTACACACACACACACACACACACACACACACACACACACACACAAAATATCTCCTCCCAAGGGAAGACAAGGAGCAGTCACAGGAGATAACAGCATATATATATATATATATATATATATATATATATATATATATACACACACACACACACACAGAGAGAGAGAGAGAGAGACATCCCACGGTGTGCATTTTATTCAGGGAGGGCAGGACGGGGGGACATGATGGAGCAGTGCATGCTTTGGGGTAGGCAGCTACACTTCACATTTCATTTCAGTCAGGCACATTTTACTACAGGCACATGCTAACTAGATCTCCCAAGTGCCAGACTGTGTTTTACAACAGGAGGAGGGAGATTTGCATGGCACCTAGGCGGCGGCAGCGGCGAGGGAACGACAATACAAGCTCCCTCCTACCACCATCAGCCCTACCCCGCAGGGGAGCCTCAAGGCAGGGGAACTGTGAGGTACTAATCGTAAGGTTGCCATATGTCCAGAATTGCCCAGACATAGCCAGGATTAGGCCATCAGAAATGGTGTCTGGCGCCAAAAATGCTGAAATGTCCGGGGGGGGGGGGAGAGCTCAACAACTTCTTTTGTGTCCTGATTTTCATTTTCACTTTTTGAAATACGGCAACCCTAACTGAGTTCCACATGCAGATCATAGAATCATAGAATCATAGAGTTGGAAGAGACCACAAGGGCCATCGAGTCCAACCCCCTGCCAAGCAGGAAACACCATCAGAGCACTCCTGACATATGGTTGTCAAGCCTCTGCTTAAGGACCTCCAAAGAAGGAGACTCCACCACACTCCTTGGCAGCAAATTCCACTGTCGAACAGCTCTTACTGTCAGGAAGTTCTTCCTTATGTTTAGGTGGAATCTTCTTTCTTGTAGTTTGGATCCATTGCTCCGTGTCCGCTTCTCTGGAGCAGCAGAAAAAACCTTTCTCCCTCCTCTATGTGACATCCTTTTATATATTTGAACATGGCTATCATATCACCCCTTAACCTCCTCTTCTCCAGGCTAAACATGCCCAGCTCCCTTAGCCGTTCCTCATAAGGCATCGTTTCCAGGCCTTTGACCATTTTGGTTGCCCTCCTCTGGACACGTTCCAGTTTGTCAGTGTCCTTCTTGAACTGTGGCGCCCAGAACTGGACACAGTACTCCAGGTGAGGTCTGACCAGAGCAGAATACAGTGGCACTATTACTTCCCTTGATCTAGATGCTATACTCCTATTGATGCAGCCCAGAATTGCATTGGCTTTTTTAGCTGCCGCGTCACACTGTTGGCTCATGTCAAGTTTGTGGTCAACCAAGACTCCTAGATCCTTTTCACATGTACTGCTCTCAAGCCAGGTGTCACCCATCTTGTATTTGTGCCTCTCATTTTTTTTGCCCAAGTGCAATACTTTACATTTCTCCCTGTTAAAATTCATCTTGTTTGTTTTTACCCAGTTCTCTAATCTGATGAATGTAGTGGTTCAAAGTAGAAGGGTAATGTGAAAAAAAATCCCCAAGAATCCCAGAACTACGATATTAGATTAGATTAGATTAGATTAGATTAGAACAGAATAGGTGTTGGAAGTGACCCTGAGAATCATCTAGTCCAACCCGCTGCAATGTAAGAATTTGCAGCTGTCCCTTATGGAGATCAAACCTGCAACACCTGCACCACGCTCTACCCAATTGAGCTATCTAGCTGATACAGAATTGTAGACTTGGAAGGGACCCTGAGGATCATCCAGTCTGACCCCCTGCGATGCCAGGATATGCAGTTGTCCCATACTGGGATTGAACCTGCAACCTTGGTGTTATCAGCACCATTCTCTACTAACCAGCTGAGCTATCCAGGCTCACCCTTTACATGCTTGCCTTCTACAAGAAGGGTGTGGTAAAAAAAAATTCAAAGTATATAGGAAGCTGGCTTATAGAGTCAGACCACTGGTTTCTCCCTCCTCTCCTCCTCCTCCTCCCACCCCCCAAGCTCATTACACTGTCTGGGAGCATCTTTCCAAGGTTTCAGACAAGGGACCATCATGCAGCCCTACCTGGATATGTCGTCGGGGATTGAACTTGGGACCTTCTGCCTGCAAAGCAGATGCTCTGCCACTGAGCTATATGATCCCTTTCCCTACAGCCCTTTCACGGGCAGCTTCAAATGGTACAGTCTTGATCACTCTACAACATGCTCCACCTGCTCAGGTGGCGGCTCAACAGCCAGAGAGGACACATGCACCTAGGCATCTGAAATCCATATCCAAGCTTTGTTTGTGGCCCACACTGTCAAAGACACGTGCACAAAAAGCCATTAAAATTATAGCCACCTCACTTGGCAGGCCGACAAAAGCTCCGCATTAGCTCACGCAGCCTCTCCCCCAAAAAAAGGGCCTGCACCTCTGCACTCGCACTAATAATGGATTGGTTTAATGGGCTGCCAAACCAGAGAGCAGCCAAAACTAACAAAAGTTTATGATCCTGTGGTCTCATTTACAACAGGATAACGCAGCAATAATTTACTCGATACTTGAGTGGAGAGAGAAAAGTTATGGTCATCACATTATTTATATGTATTTTTAAAAATACTTTTAATGGGAAAAACACTGATGAGCCTTTTGGCCCATTAACTCCCACCATTGTTTCAAGCGACACAGCTGTCAGCTCAGCAGGGTGCCCCCGCTCCCAATGCCTGCGCTGTAGAAACAATGGCTTAGAATATAACACCAGAAAAGCTTTATGGGGTGGGGGAGGAGAGGAGGGCCGTGTTAAGATTCCACAACCATAGAGAAAAATGGCTGAATATATATGGGAAGCAACAGACTTGAAGAGAGACCACCACCACGCATGGGTACAGTGGTGCCTCGCAAGACGAAATTAATCTGTTCCGCGAGTGTCTTCGTCTAGCGGTTTTTTCGTCTTGCGAAGCAACCCTATTAGCGGCTTAACGGATTAGCGCTATTAGCGGTTTAGCGGCTATTAAAGGCTTAAAGGCTTAGCGGATTAGCTGCTAAAAGGCTATTAAAGGCTTAGCGGCTTAGATAAATGGGGGGGGGAGCGAAAAAAAAATCTCAAGACTCGCAAGACATTTTCGTCTTGCGAAGCAAGCCCATAGGGAAATTCGTCCTGCGAAGCAACTCAAAAACAGAAAACCCTTTCGTCTAGCAGGTTTTCCGTCTTGCGAGGCATTCGTCTTGCGGGGCACCACTGTACTGCACCCAGCAAGACCCACTAAAATAAGCATCCTAATGAACCAGGTGCTATGAATATGGTGGAAACAAGGGCAGAGCCAGTCCCCAAAAGAGCTACATGGTGGTATTGCATGCAACAACAAAACCGACAGGTAAGTTTGAGGGAATTGCAAATTGCTAACAAAAGCAACAATAAAAATGCTTCCATCGAGGGTAGGGTAAAAATTCAATCCAGTTCACTTTTTAATCCAAACCTCCCTAATCCTCAATTTCTGTAACAATTTTGGAACTGTATCACAGCCTGCGTTTGAAATTTGCACTTCTCTGAATTTTGTGATGTAGTTCTCTAGTACCAAATGCATATACCTCCGGTTACAAATGGGATCTGTTCCGGAGGCCCGGCCGCATCCCAAAAATTTGGTAACCGGAGGACCGCTTCTGTGCATGTGCAAGCAGCAAGCCCACTTCCGGGTTTGCCGCGACTGTAACCCAAAGATTCCGTAACCTGGAGATTGCGCAACACGAGGTACCACTGTATAGGAATGGTGAAGCACACACTCAAATGCATGTATTTGTGAAAATAACATACAAAAACACACTGAGAAATTGCTTTGCAAAAGTGTGTACAGTGGTACCTCGGGTTAAGTACTTAATTTGTTCTGGAGGTCTGTTCTTAACCTGAAACTGTTCTTAACCTGAAGCACCACTTTAGCTAATGGGGCCTCCTGCTGCCGCCTCGCTGCCGGAGCACGATTTCTGTTCTCATCCTGAAGCGAAGTTCTTAACCTGAAGCACTATTTCTGGGTTAGCGGAGTCTGTAACCTGAAGCGTATGTAACCCGAGGTACCACTGTATGTTGGTCAAATTTGCACACACAAAAATGTGTATGTTAGGAGAAAGTCATGCTAAAAAGCTGGTGAGTTTTTGTAAGGTGTTTTCGAAGAAAAAAAATGTACAAGATGATGTGGAATTGTAGAGAGATTAATTTAAGATTGGGGAAAATGAGGGTCGGAGAATGACAGATTCACCCATCCCTAACAGTGATTGAGATGCACTCCCACACATTCCTTCTTGAATACTGGGAAGCATGATGAGAGGAAGCAGAACGCAAAGCTTCATCATGACATTATTTACACACACAGAGTGCTATTCCAGCTCAAGAAAGAAAGAGAAATGTGCGTTGCTTTTCTCCCCCTTTTGGAAAGCTGTGCTGGTGTGTCTGCAGACTGTTAGAGCCTACTGGAACAGACAGCAGCTGCCTGAAGCCTCCCTCATCAGATGTTTCCCTTCAATCTGCTGTGGTTTTTTTAAAAAAGAAAAATACAAGGCTGTTGTACTTTTTAAACAAAGGAAAACACTTCTGCACAAGTGCTTTGGAGAACGCTGCTCAGAGGTCATCTCCCAGAGCTGTAAATTCATTAGTCTTGTCTCCTTGCAAGAGAAAATATTCCACCATTCCCCTTCCCTTTTGGCCCTTCTTCTTCCCTAATTAAAATCAAAATTATTTCCTCACCAAAAAGGCCATTCCACATTCATTCATCTCCATTCTTTTTTCTGTTTGGATAAGCCATGCTACAGTATGCCAAAGGTGCCACACAAACTCTAAATGGCCACACTGTGTATTATCACTATTGACGCAGAGGAGTGGTTTGAGGCACCAGCTGGGGAACCCAACCCCCGCCAAGGGAAGATGGCTCAGAGCCTGGGGTTGGTGGTGGGACAATGATGAGTGGTTCAGAGAATGAAGGAGGAGCAAACTGGGAGGAGGAGGTGTCAGAAGGAGAAGAGGCAACAGGGTTTAGTGAGCAGGAAGAGGCAGTGGCAGAAGGCAGTCCAGAATTAGAGGAAGAAGTGGAGGCTGGAGAGGAGGGGGGCCAAGAGGCAAAGATCAGGCAGGCTGCTGAAGAAGCCAGGGGGATTAAAATGTTTAAATTTAAAAAAAATATCTTGTGTTTTCTTAAATAGGGGCGGGTTGTAGTTTTAAATAAATGGACTTAGGATGTGCTTGGAAAAGAGAGGAGCTGGGTAGAGCAGGATGACCCAAATCACAGTGGTTCTGGGCAAAGGGAGGGATGGTGTGGAGGGTGCAGCAGGCCAGATAAGGGGCACACGGGACAGGCATTGACTGTGCCATGTGCCAGTCCCTTTTCCAACCCGGGAAATTGTGGCTGTCCCATCAGCCAGCCCTCAGGTCTGCAGCTGCTGTTGCTGAATGCCAGGTTAGCTCTGAGTAAGACCTCTCATATCCATTATCTGATTATGGATGTGGAGAGGCTGATCTGGTCTGTATCACTGAGACTTGGGCAGGTGAGCAGGGTGGAGCTGTGCCCACCTGGGTACTCGGTGCAGCGTCAGGACAGACTTGAGGGTCAGGGAAGGGGAGTTGTGGAATCTAGAGTGTGTGTTCCTGGTGTTGGGCAATTGGGACATATTAGGTATTCTGCTGGTTTAGCGCCTACCTCACTGCTCAGCAGTCTCCCTGCCTGAGCTGACAGAGCTGGTCTCAGAAGCAATGTTAAGGACTCCCAGACTGCTGGTTTGGGGGGACTTCAGTTTGTTGGCTCTGAGCGTGATTGGAGGTTGCCCAGCACACACAGCGCAAAAACTCTGAGGCTTGTTTTGATTTTTAAAAGGGGGCTTATCTTATTCAGAATAGCCAGGACAGGATAAGCAGGACTTATCTTATCACTGCCTGTATTGATGTCAAGGTTTAAAAAGAGCTTGGGGTTCTGCTACATGGAGCAGAACACCTACACCGATAAATACTGATAAGGCAGCCCTAAACAGCATATTCCTTCTCTGCAAGATAGACACGACTCAGAACAGTATCCATCGTGAAATTCTACCAGATTCTCATTCTCTCTCTCTCTCTCTCTCTCTCACACACACACACACACACACCTCTACCTCTCCCCCTTTGCTTCAGCTAATTTGCTTCATCTATTCAGGCTGCTGCAGCTTTCACCAAGTATTGAGATGGACACTGAACACTTGGCAAACAGTCACATATACCAGTCAAGCAACCGAATTTTGCATCGAGTCCGCAAACTGTTACAGAAGTGAACTTGCTGCTTTGCCACGTTGACAAAGGTGAGAAAGGAAAGGAAAATCTCAAAATCTCGGATACAAATATTAGAACAATCTGGGATGCCAGCAAAGTGTAGGTTGAAATTACATACAGCAAAGTGCAAAAAAGAAAATTATATGAGAGAGGAAGCTAGAAGAAATAAGAAAAGAAATAGAAAAGAAATAGCAATTAAAACAGAGAAAGGAAGAAATGCAAATTGATAAAATAAAGGAAGGCGGAAAAAATATAGATAATACAGAAGAAATAAACACATGTTTTATATAGCACTTCAATAAATTACATACAGTGGGAAAGGAAACAGAGGAAGATGTTATAAATTATTTACAGGACAAATGGCTACCCAAGATTGGGAAAGAAAAAATAGATTATTTAAATGCGCCAATATCTCGCATGAACTGCACGAAGAAATCTCAAAAGCAAAATAAGGCAAAGCACCGGGCCCAGACGGGCTCACGGCAATGCATTACAAAAAAATGGAGGAGGCGATAGCAACCCCTATGAAATCACTTATAAATAGCATTATAGCAGAAGGGAAAACCCCTGAGTCGTGGAATTTGGCACATATTATCATAATACCAAAGCAAGACAAAAATAAAGAAAATATTAATAACTATAGACCTATATCCCTACTCAACAATGACTACAAAACATATGCCGATATTCTGGCCCAAAGATTGAGAATAGCTTTGAACAAATATATTAATCAAGATCAAGTAGGTTTCCTACCAGGGAGGAAGATGTGTGACAATGTAAGACTAGTGGTTGATTCGATCGAATACCTAGACATGAATCCAGGGAAAACAGCAGCTTTTGTATTTACTGATGCTGAGAAAGCTTTTGATAACGTATCCT